TGCTTCATTTCTTGATTAGTTGCTCCCCACAAGCATGTGCTCGACAGTTCTCTGCTGGGTTCTTCCTTTGTGCAGCCCTCTGGCCACTGTGTCATCCTTATGCTCCGAGCTGCATCTCAGCAGCTTAGTGAGATGGCTGGAGCCCACCTCTGCTCTTCTCTCTCCACTGCACTCTCTCTTTAGGCAGTAAACTGTGGCAGTCATAGGCCCACCTTGCTTGTTTCTCATCTCTCAGTGGTCACTGTTCTTCATTTCCTGGTCTAGGGTCTTGAAAATGGTTGTTTTTTATACTTTGTTCAGTATTTTAGTTTATTAGTTGGGAGTGAAAATCTGGTCTGTTTTACTCCATATAGGCTGGCACCTGAAGTCAGTATCTCTAGTTGATATATTTCATGAAAATATACTTGCACAGTAAGATTGGTCAAAAGGTAAAGTCAGCTGGGTGTAGTGGCTCACGTCTGTAATCCCAGCACTTTGGGAGGCCGAGGTGGGTGGATCACCCAAAGTCAGGAATTTAAAACCAGACTGGCCAACATAGTGAAACCCCGTTTCTACTAAAAATACAAAAATTAGCTGGGCATGATGATGGGCGGCTGTAATCTCAACTACTTGGGAGGCTGAGGCAGGAGAATCACTTGAACCCAGGAGGCCTTGGTTGCAGTGAGCTGAGATCACGCCATTGCACTCCAGCCTGGGCGACAAGCACGACACTCCATCTGAAAAAAAAAGGTGAAGTCTTTGCTCCGATGGCATCATCTTTCATTCTGTCCCAGAAGCGGAGCGTCTTTCATTTTACAATGACTTCGTTTTTGAATGAGTAAAATAATTGGCAATGAGCCTATTTAAATTATCCTGTTTTAAAATGATTGTGGATTTTATTATTTCATACTCTTTGCCACCCCCCCAATACTGTCTTAGTTAATATTATTTTAAAAGTCTGGTTTAGACGAAGAGATTTGAAAACAGTATAAGAATTTAATCTAACCTTTGTTTGAGTTCGGAAGGAAAAAAGTATGGTAATCCTGATATTTCAGCAAAGAATGTTTAATCTATGTTGTTTTTTTTTTAAATAGCAAGATGCATGTGTTCTTTCTGGTAATCTTACATTAAAGCCGTGGACATTCATTTCAGCTGTTTGTGTAATATGCCAACATAGATAATTTATTGATAAAGTCACATTAATGATCCCTTTCTGTGTCCAGCTTTGTAAACTCTCTCTTAACTATATTTTGCTGCTTTAGGAAGATGCATAGGCTTGCTAAAAGTAGAATTTCACTCAGGTGGGCTCAAGACCATAAATTCCATTGACTAATAATGTATGTAGAGAAACCAGCCCTTTCTTAAATGAGATTTTATTCTGTATGTTAGTTCTTTTTTAGGTATGAATAGAAAAAGATCATTATTCAAGGAATTAGGCATAAAATATTTTCAGTTGAATTCTAGTGGGGGAGCTGATGTGCAGCTTGTCATGAGGAATTTTTTTATTGACAGATCATCTAGATAATGTGACCTTATGCTTACCCATGGCTTAACTTACTAAGCTTCCTGCTTGGAGTATATTTTACTTACCTTTTAACAAGACGAACTTCCAAATGGGCATAGCATTTAAATATTTGACTAAAGCAGTTAAACCACAACATTTGATCATTAGATCTTTCCTATAGTTAGTAGTATTTAAAAATATTTCAATATTTGCTTTTAAAATACTCTTACCTTTTACAGAAATATAAGTTTCAAAGTATTTTACATTTTTCAGGTGATTGCTAGTAAAGCTTTGTCTGAGTATTGTCACCTTTTCTTAATTGTTGGTGCTTTTAATTTTAAAGGTACATTTTATAATCTAATTACTGCCATGCCAGAAACCTTTCAGGCAGAATTTTAGAGACTTTTTTTTTTTTTAAGGTTTCTTGCGGTCCAGTCTTTACAGAAAATATTCAGAATTGAAGAACTGTGTTTGTTGGTCAAAGTAATCTGTTAGTCAATCTATCGGATTTTTAAAAATATTCAATTCAACACAATGATGTCTTGGAACTAGTTTTTATGGAGTAATATCTGTCTAGTTCTTCAGCGCACTATAGCAGCAGGTTCCTGGATTTCTGTTTATGAAATCAACCTGAAATAGCCTGGAAACCAGAACATCTGATGATAGAGACTGTTCTTTGCCTGGATGTTCCATGTTAGGTCTTGACCCTGAGTCTCAAGATACCAAGTTGAGTCCACTAAGAAGTTCTAGTGAAAGCACTTTCCTGGTTTTCATAATGCGTCTTCCATCCTTACCGTAATGATGCATTCAGCTTCCTGGCTTCACTCTCATGATGTGGTAGTGTGGTCACACCTAGGACGCGGGTCATGTTACCTACCACAGACCATAAACCAGTGGTTTCCAAAGTGGAGTTTGTGCATTTCCATGCATTCACAAAGTAAGCTATTGGACTGTGTGAAAGAAATATTGGAACCTGTATTTATATTTATTGTTAGGATTTCTAAAGTATTTGTTTTGTCTATATATAAGATGTCATTGGATAGTATATTTGTAGCTTATAAATAATTCAATACACATATACTGGGTATAGATGCTCAAATTTTGTTTTTACTAATGGTAGTACATGATCAAAAAAATTTCAAGAGCAGGTAAGACTCATATAGAACATCTAGGCAAGAGTTTGATTCTGGGATTTCCCATTTCCTCCATCAATGAGCTTCATGCTGTGTAAAATTTTGGGTGTCTGTGTCTGTGGGTTTTTTTTGTGTGAAGATTCATAGCTCTCACCAGATTCTCAAAGGATTCTTTAGCTCTTAACGATACAAGTACTTATCTGGGATCTCTGGGCTGAAGCCACTGAAGCTTGTTTTGGTAGGATGACATCTTGTTTAAAGATCACTTCCTAGGCTAAATGAGATGGTACTTTATTATAATTACAATTAGATATTAACAATGTAAGGTTTTATTAATGTGAATAGCTGAGAAACTGCTGCCATCATCATCATAACCATGTGTGACTGATGCTGTGTACTCTTCTGGTGTCTGGGTTTTTACCTCTTTAAAAAAGCTATTTTATTGTATGTTTTCATTAATCATCTACCTTTAAAAAATATTTTGGTAGGGCTGGGCGCGGTGGCTCGAGCCTGTAATCCCAGCACTTTGGGAGGCTGAGGCGGGTGGATCACGAGGTCAAGAGATCGAGACCATCGTGGTCAACTTGATGAAACCCTGTCTCTACTAAAAATACAAAAAATTAGCTGGGCATGGTGGCATGTGCCTATAGTCCCAGCTACTCAGGAGGCTGAGGCAGGAGAATTGCCTGAACCCAGGGGGTGGAGGTTGCAGTGAGCCGAGATTGCGCCATTGCACTCCAGCCTGGGTAACAAGAGCGAAACTCCGTCTCAAAAAAAAAATTTTTGGTGTATTATTGTCTTTCAGTTTCATCATTTGTCCTGGGTAGTAGTGACTACAGGAAAGCTACTTTTGAGATCTCCTGTTTTTATGACGATGTTTATTTTTTTTTTTTTATTATCTCTCGATGTCTTGACCTCATGATCCACCCGCCTAGGCCTCCCAAAGTGCTGGGATTACAGGCATGAGACACGGCGCCTGGCTGGTTTTTTCATTATCTCTCTAAGCTGTTGTTGTAGAGGCTCCCTGCAGCAGATGATGGCATCGCATCTGAGTGAGGATGAGAGTTCAGTTCAAAGGTCAACTGATAGTGTAAATTGAGTATGGTCAGTTATTCTTGAAATCACCCATAAAATCCTTAAATCACCCTTAAAAGATGAGGTACATAATTTTGTATCTATAGTCCTATAGATGACTGTTACTATTTCTTCTAATTCTTTGTAGTTTAAATTGTATCTGGCCCCCAAGTCGCTCTCTCCGTTCTTTCTTGAAGAATGTTGACATTCCCTTTATCTCTCACTTGACTGACACCTGAATGATGTGATTTATTTATCTACCCGTGGTCAGAAAAATCTCACCATTCATGTATTTTTTCCAATAAATATTTTTATATTATAAATATCTTGTATTTATATAAATATTTTATAAATATTTTTAACTGGACCTGGCCATGTACTCATTTAATAGAATGACTAACCTATATTTAAGTGAAAAGACTTTTGAAAAAATGTGTGTAGGTGAATTTAAGTAACTTCAGTGCATACATTATATTATTCTACTATATTTCCTGCTTTGCCCTTTTACTCTAGAAGCCTATAAGTATTAAACTCAGATTAACAATTTTTTATGGAAGGAAATTATATATTCAGTTATATAATACTAATATTAAATATTAATATATATATATACTAATATTAAGTGCATATAAGACATTATTCTAGGCACTGGGATTATAGGGGTGAAACAAACTTGCTATTCTTACAGAACCTACATTCTAGTGGGGAAGACAGAAAAAAAATTCAGGTTATGTGTGCTATGAAGAGTCATAATTAGCATAGAAGGCCATAGAAGGTCCAGCTGTTTTAGGTAGGGGTGTCAGAGTTTCCTCTCCAAGGAGATGGCGTTTGCACAGAGACCCGAATGAAGAGAGGGGACGGGCATTTCCTCTGGAGGGCGGCAGCAGAGGAGGATAGGATGTTCTCAGGCATCTTTTTCATGATGACCCTTGCTTCCTGTGGTCAGTTACTGCCATCCTGCCTCAGTAGCATGTGCAGCCAGCCATCCTCCCCATGGAAGCAGCACAAGAGCTTGTTTTTTAACGTAAGCATGAGTTCCATTGCATATGCAAAGGGCATTCACCATTCTGACCTCATTACTCATCACTTGCAAGTGACTGTTGCGTGTATGTGAAGTAGGTTAGGGCTGGCTTGAGGTTGTCCCAATAGATGATAGTTACATATTTTAAACTAGGACTTAGTCATTAGATCACCTCATATAATGGAAGTGCGAATGTACATAGAATTTGATTGAACTTGTGCTTTACTTGTAACACCCTAAATATGTCTTACCTGATTTCATTAAGGGCTATTTTGTTTATTTTTAACAGGAATCACTAGATTTGACCTACTTGGAGACTTTGGAAGGTTTAATTGGCTGGGAAATTTCTATATTGTATTATCCTACAATTTGCTTTTTGCTATTGTGACAACATTGTGTCTGGTCCGAAAATTCACCTCTGCAGTTCGAGAAGAACTTTTCAAGGCCCTAGGTAATCCTGAGGTTCATGGGTATTTTTTCCTCTTTCTACTAAATGATAATTTTGACATTTGAGTTAATATGACATCTTCAGCTATTTAGTTCCCAAATCTGTAAAACCTTAGAGGTCAGATTATTGATCCATTACTTGCTATGATTTTGTGCAGAATGACTTCAGTAAAGCCTTCGCTTCCTTATCTGTAATATAATGATAACATCGTCTTCCTTTTAGGATTTTTGTGAAGATAACTGAAATAATCCGCGTAAGGTCCTTACTGTAGTGCCTGGCACATCGTAGGAACTCAGTAAATCTTAGCCCCTTTATGATGACGGCGGTGGCGAGGCTGAGGTGGTGTTAAAGGCTTATTTTTTGCTAACAATACCTTTCAGTTAAAGCTGTTTTTGAGGCTTTGGATTTTACAGGTATCTGGCTGACCCATAATTCTGTTCAGTATGCCAAATAATTCAAGATGAAAATGTTAGCATTCTTGGCATCGATCTAATAGAAGAGAAGGGATTTACTATTGTGCATTCCACGAGTCACCCATAGTGTAATGGTGTTAAAAACCCTAGTAGGTTTATGAAAGGGTACAAATGTAACCCATGAATGTATTTTTTACACTTATTTCCATATTAGTGCTAAACATGTTTCAAGTTTTATACTTTAAGAATATCAGGACAGTGTAAATTACTTGGTTTGGGGATGTGTAATTTTATGACAGAAGAAGGGAAAGGCAGTGACATTTGTAGAAAAGTTTTTAAAAATCCTGACGTTAGCACATTTACCTGAGTTGGCATCATTTGAATGCTTATGACTCCATATCGGGGCTTTTAGCTGTTACAAAAGGCCACATATTGATGGATTCATTAAGGTCCAGTTTTCAAGTAACGGAAAATAGATGAGCAGCAGTAAAGCTTTTCACACCACCAGGCCTTTCCAGCCTTGATGTTTGAGCGGGTGACCTTGGGGAGGCAGAACGGATTTCAGATGAGCTCTCCATGTGTGTTTTACTTTGAACATACCCGGGACAGGGTGGCTCATGGAACCCTGGCCTGACAGGGAAAAGCCGCCGCTTGTTTCAGCTGAGACACCAGATAATTTATACAGTTTAATGCTTAGGGTTAATAAAACTGGTCCAACTTGAAGTGGAAATCAAACAGTCCTTTCTATCAGGTGCCTAGCATTAAAACTTAATTTTTAAGCCTGTTAGAATATCAGCGAGATTAGTCAGCCGTGGTCTTAGATAAATTTCCACTTTCCATTCACTAAATGGTTGCAAATGAACTGCCTTAAGTTTAGCTTTTGAATTAGGTATTCTGGACATCATTTTGCTAAGAAAGCCTTTATTAAAGTAATGAAACATAATCTGATATGAAAGGCCTTATGTGTATGTCAGTTCATTGACCACAGGAGACAGTAGAATTAGCAAGAGTTGTATAAAACTACCTAATAGATTTACTTTTCTTCCCAAATGTTTTTCACTATTCTTTGGGGTGCTCTAAGGGGCAATTTATACATAGAAAAAGAGTCTTATCAAGTATACGTAATGTTTGAATGACCTGAGACCTTAAGAAGGATTTCACTGATTGTAAAGTATCCCCTTTCTTTCTTTTCTTATCTTTTTTTGGTAGTTTTCCCCCTCTGCTGCTATGCCTATTAATAATGATAGTATCCATCTCAGAGAGTAACCGGCACATAGTAAACACTAGCGATTTACCTGTGGTGATGGTGGTGATGGATGGGATTGTTTGTGGAGTTGTCTGTAGAAGAAAGACATGGGAATTTTTCAGAATGCATCATGTATGCGACACTCAAGTTTTAGATGTGAACTCAGTCTGTCCCGAAAGGGTGACATCATTTCAGCTCCGTCAGTGAATCCCTCATTGATCCACTGTCTTCTCTCAGCCCCTTTCTAACAAGCTCGATTTTAGCACACTCCCTCAGCTTCAACAGCTGCGGCTCCTATGGTCGTTCCTGGGCCACAACCGTTTTCTGTGTTGGATGGATTTCTTTTTTTTCTTCCTATTCAAACATGGAGAGGCTCAATTTTACCGTTTCTTTCATTAAGATATGCAAGTGAAAGTTTAAAATTTGGAGTGCTCTGTTGGTTTATGAGTGATGTAAAACTGTGTAACAGGTCAATTACCATGTGAAATTTTAGGGAGAAAACTCTTTTCCAAGTAAGTTGTTGAGATGCCAAAAAAGGTCTGCGCTTCATGAAAAGTATTTTCTCAGCATCTGTCCTGTCGAAGTGCAGGCCGCACCATGATCATTTGGTCAGCATCAGACGACTTGCCATATGACAGTGGCCCCAGAAGATTATAATGGAGCTGAACAATGTATGTCCCCTAGTGACCTGCTAGCTGTTGTAATGTCATGGCACAATGTAACCTTTTCTAGGTTTAGATATTTTTAGATGCACAATTATTTACCCTGTGCCACAGTTGCCGATGGTATGCAGCACGGTAACATGCTGTCTGGTGTGTGACTTGGGAGCAAGAGGCTGTGCCACACAACCAGGCGTGTCGCGGGCTGTGCCCTCAGGGTATGTCTAGATGCTCTCTATGATGGTACAGAATGACAAAATTGCCTGATGACCCATTTCTCAGAATGTACTCCTGTTGTTCAGCAACGCCTGCCCATGTTCCTGCCTGTCATTGTATCTCATTTTTATTAAAGTGCTTGGAGCTCCAGTGCCATACAGCTCTTACATTTTCTTCTGCCTTTTCTCCATGTGAGAGTGTAGTGTTGCTCTGTATATCAGGTGTATTATGTAAATAATCGTTATATGATAGAGCGAGAAATCAATGTAACTTTAAAAGATAGTGATAATTTTTTATTCTGTGAAATACCTTTGTGTAGTGAGATATTATTTATGTTCCATTTATTCTTTTGTCATTTCTTTCTTTTTTGGTGATGTTTTCCATTCTTTTCTTTTTAATTACATATGAATATTTTGGTGTGGCTTTCCCTACATTTTCCTGCATGTGTGTGTGTGTCATTTTACTTTATTTAAAATTTTTTTGAGACAGGGTCTCATTCTGTCACCCAGGCTGGAGTGCAGTGGTATGATCACGTCTCACTGCAGTCACAACCTGCTGGCTCAAGCGATTCTCCCACCTCGGCCTCCCAAAGTGCTGGGATTATAGGCATGAGCCACTGTGACCAGCTACGTTTTCTGTTTTTCATGAAGATGGGGTTTCACTATGTTGCCCAGGCCTGTCTCAAACCCCTCAGCTCAAATGATCCTTCCACCTTGGCCTCCTAAAGTGCTGGGATTACAGGTGTGAGCCACCCCACCCAGCCTGTGTATATATATTTATATCTGTCTTGGGTTAGGTTCCCAGAGAAGCACACTTTAGCTGGGAATATGCTTGCCAGGAAGAGGTTTATTAGCCGGCTTGGGGAAAGGAAAGAGGAAGGGGCTGTGCAGAGAGAGAACTGTGCTCTGATGCAGTCACACTAGAAGCCTCTGCTGGCCCTCGGGGATGCTGTGGCTACAATGACCATTCAGAGCTCCACTGAACTGAGAAGAAGGGGGCAGGCTTTTATGACCCTCATGTGCTATCCTGGAAGGGGCAGGACTTCCCGCCCTGCAGCTGTCTTCGGCTTAGGCCATCCCCAAAGGGAGGTTGCCAGTAGGGAGAAGAAATCTTTCATTCCTCAAGGGGATCTGGTCAGCACCTCACAGCTTCCCAAATCCAACTTAGCTTTTCCAGTCTCCTCTTCTCCCTACCCTAACCCTTCCCCAGCCACTCAGCAATCTGTCATTTCTCACCATTTTCTTAATTTTTTGCAGGGCTTCATAAACTTCACTTATCAAATACTTCAAGGGATTCAGAAACAGCCAAGCCTTCTGTAAATGGGCATCAGAAAGCACTGTGAGATGCACAGCCGGCGTCCTCTGCAGCAAGAGACTCGAGACCTCCAGACTCATGACATTCCTGTCCTGCGTAGAAGCATTTCCACTTCGACCTTCGACCTTGGCTCCTCCTCAGAACCTAGACCTATCAGTGCCATTTTTTTTCATAATCTATGAAGAACTTGGCCATGGCTGATTTTTTAAAATTTCACTTTCTGAAAGACCCTGTAGTTTCCAGTTAAACACAGATTCCTTAGAGACATGCAGAACAGCACATTCTTCTGCAGGCTCGCTCATATTGGTAAATGCAGCCATCCCCATGAAAATACCGTTTTCACCTGATATGACAGTGTTAGAAAAGGCACTCTGGGACTTTCTAAAGGTTTCCTTCAATCCCATTGCAGACTTTATTCAGAATGTAGATGCCTACCTGAAAGGCATCCTTGGTACTAAGTGAAAGTTCTTCAGAAAATGCGTCTTTCAAATGTGACAGGAACTGCTTGTAGATGTCGTTATTGCAGTGTGTGTTGGACTGGCAATGGTGGCAGTTAGGTTTTTTATTTCCTTAAAAGCAAAAGCCACAGTTTCTGATTTCTGTTACAGAACGATATTGATTCGACTTTGAGTCGAGGGGAAAATACTGAATTCTCTGAAACCTGGAGCCTTAGGGAGTCACAGGAATGTCTTCTGTTGTGCAGTCTAATAAGCTACGGTAGGGAGTATCATGTGATCACAGTGGAGTGACAGTTTATGTATATAGTTCACGATTACCTCTGATAACATAGTTGCCAGTGTTTAATACACTTGTAACTTGGATGTTTGCCTTATAGGCTATATGTATACTCAGTTTTTTAAAGCATTTTTTCAAAGATCACTTGATTCCCATGCTTCTGTATTGCTTATAGAAACTACAAACGCCTTCTCTCCTCATAGTCCTCAGGCTTGGTGACTTTTGCATATGCCTTTTGAGCCTCCGAGTTTTTCCAGTCAACATCCGAAGTTCACAGCGTCAGCATTCACGGTAGAAGAATAGTTTTGCAGTGTAACATGATCAATCAGTTATTCAATTGTAAATAACTATCGGGATGGTTTCTTGGCTTATGTCTACTGAATAAAAACCATGAACTTACACTCGGTGTTAACCATCCACTAGGACAGAATACTGAAAACTGCATGCAAAACAGAAGATGGGCCCATTTGCACACAATTCATAGTTATGCAGTCTGTAGAAATACACTCACATGCACTGTGTGTATGAAATACATTGTCTGCGTTCAGACAAAAGGAAAACTTTTTTCTCAAATTGTTAAATGTAAACGTTTTCTGGGAGAAATTTTTGAAAAGCAAGCTGTGTCTATTTGACATCAGAAATTTCCACTTAAACCCAAGCTTTAATCTATATATTTATAAACCTCACTGAGTACATACACTTCCCCTCATTTATCCCTCAGCATTTCCTTCCGCGCTTCACATCTATCTAAAATGCAGCTTGGTTTTAAAGTAAAAGAACATTCATTTTGTGATTCTAAACAATCTCAGTGAATACTGCCAGTATAGTACTGGTGGATTTCTCAGCATAAGATCAGCATACCTAGAAAGTTAATAAAATTCAGCTCTTTTCCAATTTCATTGATAATTATGCCTATTGGAGCATTCATTGTAGGGTCTAATTTTTAGTGAAACTTGGAATCCATACTTTGTGCAGACCAAGTCAAGAGAAGAACAGAAAGAAACTCAGGAGTAGAGTAGCACCACTTTTAACTACCCACTGTCAGGGCACATCCAAAGACTTCCTAGATACTTGTAAAATGTCTGAACATTTTTAAGTGAAATATTAAACTTTTCAATGTCTATCGCAACTATTTGTTCATTTGGAAGTTTCTTTCCATCCGAGAACCTAAGCCAGTTTGGGGTTTGTAAACCTAGTACAATGAATTACCAAGTTTTACACTTACTGGATGCATCCTCACTGCTGTGGAAGCAAAGGATGCACATGACGGGTGGAAGGGCAGTTTTGAACCTGGGGACTCAGATGCCTTTTAGAACACATACAGACTGTTACAGACATGGACTCCTCCATAATCACAGCTGCTTGAGGCGCTTCCTAGTCATGTGCACAGGCATCTGCCTCTTGAGAGATTCACTCCAAATGCAGGTGCTTCCATTGGACGTAGGTTGGAGGCTGCTCTATATGACAAACTCCAGAAATGGATGGCAGGATACGGAGGGCAAACACTCTGCGTCCTGGAAGGACAGTTGCCCTGGGGTCTTCATTCTCCCACAGTTCCTGTGCACCAGTGAAAGGAAGTAGATAGACCCTAGAAGGCCAGAGCTCCAAATGCTCAGAATCAGATTAACTCTGGAACTACAGTTTTGTTTCTACCTGGACAGGGATGCACCCGTGGCTGCATTAAATCAAGCAGTCCTTTTATTCTCTTTCCTTTAGTCTCGTAAAGGGCATTAGGCACTGTGGTCCCAGAGTTTCTTGGGGAAACTTTGCAGATTATTATTGATTGGTTCTGCAATACTTAAATAAATTATTTTACAATGATAAGTTTTCTGATTATAATATTTGTAATAATTTTTACTGATTTTCCAAGATACTTCTTAGATTTACTATTTACGTAGCTTTGTGTACACTCTCTGTAAAAACAGACCTCTAAGACACTTCACGTGAAAACTGTACACACTCATCATACACTAATGTTAGTGGCTGAAATTGCTGCACTCAGGTGCTGCTGAGTGGAGACGGATGGAGCCTCTTGCGTTTTGCTCTCAGGCGCATTAAAGTCACACGTGTGCCTGCTCTGGGCGGCAGCCCGGCCTCCCCGCACTCTGCTGGGTGCCTGTGGCCCTCTCTGCGGCTTCAGTGACAACCTCATCTGCCAGGGACACAGGTTTTCATCATTTATAGGCCCTTACATGCTTGTTTTGTTGGTAGTACGTTGTTTAATGCATAAAGGTAGAGTTCTTACAAGTTTGTTTAAAAAATGTGAACCTAGATACAGCACTGACTTTTTAAACTTGCAAGTAAAACTGGTATAATGTTCATTTTTTAAAATAACATTTGGACATACTAGTTATTTTTGTTTGCGGATTGTTTTGTTTAGAAATTGTTAGTCTTTGCTTCTATGAGATACTTTCAGTGTGACTTTTAAAATGTCTTAGAAATTAAAGTTTTACAAAAAGTGATTTCATATTTGGTTTATAAGCACGTCTATGTGGGGTGGTTGTTTTGTTTTTCCATCTTAAATACCGTCATGGCTAAAACTGAAGGGCATTTATAGGCTACTTCCACTTCAGTTTTATAGAGGGCAGTACTTATTCTAACGAATGCTGAATTAAGGAAGAAATGGACATTTTCTTTCTCTGGTGTGGAGTTATTGGTAGATCAGTTTCTTATAACCCAAAATGTAGCATCAGTCATTGACAGCATGTATTTTATTTAATTATTTGAATGATTTAGACTTGTTTGATTTCTCTAATTTTTTTCCATAAAAGGACTGAGCAGCACCTACTCGTGGTTTGGGCAGCTTCACCGAGAGTTCTTGGAGGAATGAATGCTGTTGGCATCCGGTTAATCCACCGGCAGGCGGAAGCATATGCACAGTGGCTTTCAACTTTTTGACCACAGTAAGAAATAACCCATTACACACACACACACACACACACACACACTCTCTCTCTCTCTCTCTCTCTCTCTCTGTCTCTCAGATACATACAAGAAATAACCCATTACACACACACACACACACACACACTCTCTCTCTCTCTCTCTCTGTCTCTCAGATACATATAAGTAAGAAATAACCCATTACACACACACACACACACACACTCTCTCTCTCTCTCTCTGTCTCTCAGATACATATAAGTAAGAAATAACCCATTACACACACACACACACACACACACACTCTCTCTCTCTCTCTCTCTCTCTCTCTGTCTCTCAGATACATATAAGCAAAAATTTAACAAGACAGTGCGCGTTTTTCCTACGTGTGCACGCTGGCATCTTCTGTTTTATTATTTTTAAAAATAGTAGACGCAGACCACTAAGTTATTTTCTGACCTCCTAATAGATGGTGAACTTCAGTTTGAAAAGCATAGCTTTGGAATGTGGTTTGAAAGAAGAAATAATACAAAGACCTTTTTGGAGTTTTTTTTTTTTTTTTTGGCTTTTGAATATTGCTTAGGTAAGAATGATTGCTACAAATGCGACTGAAGCACAGGTACCTGGGTATGCAGATTACCTGTTGCAGTGTAGAAAGTGTAGTCTCAGTAGAAATGCCTAAAACCCACAGATACACATTCAAAAATTTCCAGACTTGCGGCTGATCCATATGTCTTGAAGGAGTATTAGGCGATAAACTCACCTTTTCAACGAGAAGTTATTTAACTTCCAATTCTATGTTCTTTAATTAGGAACAGATTTTTTCAAGGGTAAATATAATCAGATAGAAACTTCAGACAAAACCTCATACCCTCGGATATGACTGTGGTGCTCTGCTGTGACTTCTGAAGGTGCTGCGGAAGCCAAGTTCATGGGTATGGACTGCAAACAGCAGGGCGGCCCTGCGTGAGTGGCTGTGGAGGACGGGACTGGTGAGGAATCTGCAGTGTCTGAGTGTGAGGAGCGGGGAGCCATGTGGGCTATGAATCTGCGAATGGAAGTTTCATCAGTTCCTGGAACCATTTTGTGGCTGTTGTAATGTCTTCTCCTTTCCTTTGAAAAGCTGTTAGGAAATGAATGGTGCTGCCTGCAAACCCTGACTCTTGAGACCAGGTGTCTGTGACGCTGCCATAGCTGTCGATGTGACTCTGCAGCTTTTCTCTACAGCGTCTTGAAGTCATCGCAGTTGCTCTGTGTGGACTCCACGGCAGAATCGGGACGAAATGGCAAGGGGAGCGTTGTCTTCATCTCCTCGTTCACTTCCTCCCCACCGCCTTGCTTTCCTTCGGTCTCAAGTGGGATTCACTTTTTCTTTTCTTTTTGTCTTGACTGTGGAATCTCGTCAAAGACTTCGAAGTGCGAGTGGCGAGAGGGGCCTGTGGTGTGGTGGAGGGGCAAGTCCTTGTCCTCCCACAGCCGCCCTCAGGACTGCCTTGCGAAGTGGAAAACACACACCTGCATTTGACAGGTAAGGAACGCCACTCAGAAAGCTGCAGGCATTTGCAGGCAACGGTGGGCAGATGAACTGGGTGTAAATACAGGCCAGCCAGTACAGTCGCAGTCTCATTTCTTTTAGGGTTTAAACCTTTGTTTTAGGTTTTCAGTTTCTTTTTCATTCATGTACCTTATGATTGTATTACTTGGTTTGTAAAGATTCATGACAGGTATACTCCTTCTAGATTATCATCTTGGTGGTTAACAGATGCCTCCAGTCCCACAGTTCTGTAAGAATTTTCTGTCTAGACTTGGTACTGATTTAATGATTTTCCCCAACACACAGCATGCTAGGCTCCTGATTAGAGGATTTAAAGGCATAAAGGGATATGTGAGAAGGCACGAGAAGTGGCTGCATCTTGCAGGGTGACTATCAGACAGGTGGGTTCCAGCCTGTTAAGGGAGGGATGGCCACATTCCATAGGGACTGCTTTAGCTGGCCAGGAAGCCACAGTGAGAGCTGCAGGCCTCCCTGTCTCCAAGTCTTCCCATGAATTGATGCTTCTGAAGGCCCCTTTCTTTCTTTGTCAGTGCCCCCATTTTTATAGAGGAGACCTGATGAGGCTGTGGTGTGACTGTATAAAAGCTTGCACTGTTTCATGACTTGACCTGACAATGTGTCATTACCTCCAAATTGTTCAGAGAAGGTGCTGCTTCATTCAGGTCCTTTTTATCATTCTGTGGCTGCAACTTGGTCTCCTGAGCCTGTGCTGGGCGTGCCATTCCATGGCCACTTTTTAGTAAGAAAATTACCTGGTTTTCTGTTAACTGCCACAAGATGCCCCGTACCACCCCTCAGTACTTACACGGTTTTCACGGTCCTCATCCTCAGTGAATTTAGACGCCCACTCCTGCCTCTTTCTCAGTGAAGTTAGATGCCCACTCCTGCCTCATCCTCAGTGAAGTTAGATGCCCATTTCTGCCTCTTTCCACCAATTTTCCTGAGTACCTGTTGCCTACAACTAACACTTAATTCCTGCATCAGCAAAATACTGCACTGCGTTACAAAGAATAGAAGTGGATCTGCCAACATAGACAGGAAAGGTGTTTAGGGGAGTGTATGGGATGGCTCATAGACATGGAGAAAGCCCAGGAAGAGGTGTTGGGCATAGCCTTAGGCACGACCTTTCCTGGGCTCTTCCCACCACTCAATGATCCACATGGGACTCTTGGTCGAGATCCAAAGTTTGGGGTAGGGAATTGGACTGCCCAGCCTCTGATGCATGCTGTGCTCTGCCTGTCACGGTATGGGGAGAGAAACGTCAGGTTATGGAAAATTGAGGTTCTGTGATTCAGTTTCCCTCCACTATCTTATGATAAAAATGCTCACTCATTGTTTAAAGGGTTCTCCAAACTGGTCTCCAAATTTTGTGATGGGATACATCATTAAAAAATGTTAGAGCGCCCAGTCGGTGCCGCATCCCCATCCTGCAGCCATGGCCGCCTACAAACTGGTGCTGATCTGGCATGGCGAGAGCACATGGAACTTGGAGAACCACTTCAGTGGCTGGTACGACGCCGATCTGAGCCCGGCGGGCCACGAGGAGGCGAAGCGTGGCGGGTAGGCGCTGCGAGATGCTGGCTATGAGTTTGACATCTGCTTCACCTCAGTGCTGAAGAGAGTGGTCCAGACCCTCTGGACAGTGCTAGATGCCATTGATCAGATGTGGCTGCCAGTAGTGAGGACTTGGCGCCTCAATGAGCGGCACTATGGGGGTCTAACCGGTCTCAATAAAGCAGAAACTGCTGCAAAGAACGGTGAGGCCCAGGTGAAGATACGGAGGCGCTCCTATGATGTCCCACCACCTCCGATGGAGCCCGACCATCCTTTCTACAGCATCATCAGTAAGGATCGCAGGTATGCAGACCTCACAGAAGATCAGTTACCCTCCTGTGAGAGTCTGAAGGACACCATTGCTAGAGCTCTGCCCTTCTGGAATGAACAAATAGTTCCCCAGATCAAGGAGGGGAAATGGGTACTGATTGCAGCCCACGGCAACAGCCTCTGGGGCGTTGTCAAGCATCTGGAGGGTCTCTGAAGAGGCTATCATGGAGCTGAACTTGCCGACTGGTATTCCCATTGCCTATGAATTGGACAAGAATTCGAAACCCATCGAGCCCATGCAGTTCCTGGGGGATGAAGAGACCGTGTGTAAAGCCATGGAAACTGTGGCTGCCCAGGGGAAGGCCAAGAAGTGAAGGCCAGTGGGCAGGCTGCTGTCCCCAGGAGCACCCTCCCTGCCTGTCGCATCCCTCTACCCCTCCCTCCTGCACATGTCACACTGACCACTTCTGTAGACATCTTGAGTTGTAGCTGCAGATGGGGACTGGTGGCTCCCATTTTCATTTTAGCCATTCTGTCTCCTGTACCCACTCCCTTCATACATTCTAGTCAGAATTGCACTTCTAGTGCACAGGTTCTCAGTCCAAGCTGTAGAAAGGCTCCCCTTATCCAAGAGATGGAAAGGTAGTGACGGGCTTTTGCAAGTGCTTTGTTTACTGAGGACTTGAAGGGAGGGTCATGCTAAGCCGTGACCAATGAAGAGAAGCAAGAGACCCTGTCCTCTGCTCGGCTGCAGTCAGGCCACTGCCTGGGGGCTCTGGTCATTCCAGTGGCAGATGAATGTAACCTGTGTGGTGATGTGACAACTGTTTGCTCCCTGACCCCAGAGAAGCTGGCTCTAGAAGGTTGGGGTGAATCCTGCATCTAGGTGTTACATTTACTTTTATATAAAACAAGGAAGTACAGGACATATAAATAGTACAAAACAATAACCCTTTTGGGGTTTCTTGTGGCCGTTGATATCGTGCCACACATGGTCACCAGAAAATAAGCCATTCCTCATAGCAACATGGGGTCAGCTCCTCGAGCCGAGGGGCAGGAGTGCTTCCTGCTGCGTTCGAACCCCTCCCGCCTGGTGTTGTGGCAGTGAAATGCCTCCTGGTCCTGTCCAGGTGTCTGATTTCTGAGTCATGTTCTAGTTGCTTGGCTCTGCCACACGGCCCAGTGTTCCTTCGAGCACAG